TGGAATGTGAGAGATATACATTTGCAAAGATGAGAAAAAGTATTTTTGCTAATGTCTATCTATCCTAAGCTAAGTCAAAATAAACAGTTCTTCCGAGCAGATGTTAATAGAATTTTATCATAAATAAAATATAGCCTTTAGTTAGCCATTATACAAAATCTCATCCCAAAAGTAACAGCTGAAGATTGAATTCACAAAACAGACATGTTTATTAAAGTATTAAACCAGTTAAAAATGCGCTTAGGACAAATTAAAATTTCAAAAAAAAAATTCAATTATGTACAAAGGAGAACTTTAAGTGAGCCAAATATGAAAAAAAATTCTAAAATGTAATTTATAATCCGAAAAATTGAATAAGAAAAAAGAGTTTAAAATTAAAACTTTTTTCAAATATTTGAAAGTTAGACCAAAAATAAATTTAAGCAAAAAGAAAAAATAATTGTTGATTTTAAAAGATAAAATATGGGAATTTTCATGAATGAAGATAATAATCAGTCTTACAAATAAATCAGGATAATCAAGAGTGGTTCCTAACCGCTGGTCCACGAAAACGGCGGCGCAAATGAGTAGAAAACAGGCGAGGATTGTTTTATATTCTAATATTACTCCCAGTTTAACTAATACGTCAAAAGTTTTCGGGAGAATTTATTTTCAGATTAATAAAATTTAATACTATTAAACTTTATGGTTCTCGCTAAAGTTATGTTACTTTCGCAAAAAAAAAAAAAATAGACTACCAAAATAAAATAAACGAGAATAATTATGGTTTATACAAATCCCAAAAACAGTTCAAAAAAAAACGATGAAAATGAACAAAATTTAAAATGACAAAAGCGAATAAAACCATTTTCCTTTCGCTTTACATGAAATCTTATTTAAACTAAAAAATTAAAAAGAAATTTCAGTAAATAATTCCCTCTGCGCAAATCCTTTATGTAAAAGTGATTTTTTGCCTAATTTATTTAGCAAAAGAAATTTTAAGATTTCTTTCAAAAAATAATTGCTTAATGATGCTAACAAAAAAAGTCTAAGAAGAAGAAAGGAAAATGCCTTTTAAAAGTCTTAAATAGTTAATAAATTTCTAAAGATTGAACCAAGACAAAAGAAAGAAAAAAAAACTTTCCTTCTTTTTTAAAAAAGAGGAAAAATCTTTCATAAAAGAAATTCCTTTCTTCTTTTTTCCAAGAAAGCATTATTTGAAGAAATGAAAGGATAAAATCGAATTCAATAACGTCAACAACTAACCTACGCTATCCAATTGCAAACTATTTATATTCCTTTTTTTCTCTCTTGAATTACAATTTATCTCTCTCCCGCTCTCTCTCTCTCTCTCCCGATCTTTCGAGTCCATTTATTTGTCACAACCAGTAAATAGTCTTAGTAATCGAATTATGCCATCTCTCAAATTTGACAAATTAAAGGGTTTTTAGCGTTTAATTAACCATAAGCTTGAATTTAAGTGTAAATGCCAATTTGAAATTAATCGATTAATTGTCATATTTATAATATGAATTCATCAAAATCATCATATATAATACAATCATTTCTATGCAAAATTTTCCAGTTTTTCCAGCTAAGTAAGAAAAATTCAAAGAATTTAGGATGCAAAACATAAATTCAATCAACCATTCTAATGGGACAAATCAACCAAAAAATATGACAATATAGACTTAATGAGAATTTTTTTCTTTTTTTTTCAGAAACTCTAGCTATCTATCTATATTACAATTTCAGTAATTATTCTAGTCATACTTCAGAAAATTTAAATCACTAACTAAAAAAAAAGAATTTTTTTGGTTATTCTTTAATGTTAAGAATAAACAAAAAATTTAGTTTGAAAGTTAATTTTTGAAAGTCGACCTTTCTGAAAAACTTTGATTATTTTTGAATTTTTTAGAAATTCAGTTCTAAAAAAATTATTTTTTTTTAAGAAATAAAATCAGTATAGATGCAGAAATTCCCTCCCTATTTAATGGTTACTTCAAAATCTCACCAAATTTTATACAAAACTTTGTTTCCTTTATTAGCTTAAATTTAATTCATTTCCAAACAATCACAACACCTAAACTGTTATTATTGTTAAAATCAAACCATCAATTCTATTTCGTTGTGATGTTAGTGCACATCTGATATAAGCATCCATGCTGAATTGCACTTATATAAAATATGACGATCTAAACTTAAAATACATCTCATAAATGTTAAAAGAGACTATTCTAAATGTTTCATTAAAGACTTTTGCATCATGCCACTTAACGATATGTCTCCCAACTCAATATCGCTAAATAAAACTTCCTAAAGCTTGAAATAATTATATGCCTAAGTCACGTCTCACTGAAATCATTTCAAAAGACATCGTTAAATAAAAAAAAAAAAAGAAAAAAAGGAAGTGCACTTCAGAAGCAAAGCTTTTAGCGTTTGCCATAAAAAAAAAAGAAATCCAAAGTACTGTGTATAATTTTTTTTTATCGAAAAGTATTAGAGGAAAGCAATTTGAATGCAAAAGATGGAAATGGTGCAAAACTTGCACATACAATAAAAAATGCATAAATGCTTGTTACATAAGATATGTTAACAGCTGGAAAATAATTTTAATAAATATATAAACAAATTTTAAAAAATGAATAAATTGAAAACGCAGCTTATAAACAGCCAATTGCTTCATATATTAATACCACAATTTCATTTTCTCTAGCAAATGATAAACATATGAGAGAAGTAAAACATGAATATCAAGCGTAAATCGATGAAGAAAATGTTTTGAAGTGTTTTATATGTGACATAGCATTTCCACTCTCATTTGCTTCCAAATATTTAAAACTCTTCTGTCAAAAATTTTTCCTTTTCTTTTTTTTTTTTGTACGATTTGGACTGCCCACAATGCTTAACTGTAAATAAACTTACAAACAGTCTGAACCTTGACCTGCTCATAAATAATGATATATAAAAAGGGAAATAATAAATCTATAATAGTCTTCTATTACCCAGCATTGAAACCACTTTTCCTTCATCCTTATTACCAATTTTTTAAATTCCTATCGTTTATTATTATTTTCTTTCCCTTGCTTCTGCTATGAAAATTGGACACCCAAGAAGAGACGAAAAATGTTAGAGAATAATATTAGTACAAGTTCGCATTAATTTCATAAGGGATGTTTAATAACTTGAAAAAGTTATTTCTAAGTAATGACTTCAATTAATTCCTTCTTGAATTATAAAATTTGTCCGTTTCCGTTTTTCCCCTCTCTTTTCGTTTCCTCTTTTGCATCTTTTCTGAGAATGAAAAAGAGGGAAGAAAAAAAGAGGAAGAGTGCGAAAAAAAAGATAATTAACCTTTGGAATGATAATATCATCAAACCGCATTTCGAATTATTTCCATTTCGATTCAAACATTGGGTAAATAAATGATTGTTCACCAATTACATCCAGCTATTTCCTAAAAAAAAATGCAGTTATTTATTATTAATTCAATTTTCGACCTTTCCAAACACATATTTTCATGAATTATGAGCTATTGTAGACAAATAATAAATGAAGAAATGCCAGCAAAAAAGCATTGAATAGTTAGTGGAATAAAACTTTTTATGGAATTTGTTCAGTTGACAGAAAACATTAAGGAAAACTAATTCCTATCAAATTATAGCGAATATGTTAATGAACACATGTAAATATGTCTAATACCACGTGAGGCATTAGCAATGAGACTTATAAAACACGTATCACGTCTATAGAAGTATGCTTTAATGGATATTTCGTCCAATTTCTAGAGCAGATGCGACAGAAATATATGTTGTAATCGATATATGAAAAAAAATTCAGTGACCGAATGACAATTCGGTCAGCGAATCATTTCCATCAAAAGTATGACTTTAATGGCGTGAAAAAAATCACACATGATCATACGTATAGATAAATTAGATACGTATATTTGGTCGTATGCACGTGTAAGAAAAATTTTCATGCATAATTTACTGCAAAATTAATTAACTGAAAATTTCATAGAATCAATTTAATATAAGCAATTGAATTTTTCACACATATTCCATACGTAAGCCAGATAATCCGAAAACATCTTCGCATAGACAAATTAATCAAAATTAACCGGAAATGAAAAAAACCTACCACTTCATAATTTGGTATTGAAAAATCCGATATCATCGATTTCTGGCTATTCGTCTCCTAAACCTGTGGGAAATTTCGCCCTCATCGATGGGATAATGAAATTTCACACAGAGTACGTAAAAATAAGGGTAGTATGGTACTGGATATAATTCCGTACTCAACCGGAAATCATACTCCTGCCTTATGTGTACTTGAACATGGACGAGTAGTCCTTATTGGTAACCAGAAATTATTTTAGGATTGTAAAGTTAATTTTCTGGTAGTTAGGTACAATTTTGGGATTAGTGGGTTGTTCTTCCAGCGTCCTGTAATAGCTTTCTGATATATCATTTATAATTTGACGATCAAACATTTGGGTCTTCGGTAGAAAATGTTAACAGCCGTTTAAAATCCTTATTTAATCCCTGATAGGAATGATATTCACAAAAACAATGGAATTGTTAAGATTTGTAGTGGTACATCTTTTCTTTTTAATAAATTTGTGAATGATATTTCGACTTTTTGGCATAGAGGAAATATATGGATAGTGAGTGTTGAAAATTGAGAGGCGGCAGAGATTGATGATATTAGATATTAACAGTGTTATAAATGATTTTACATTCTTCCTTTCGAAGCGTCTCTTTTTTTTTGAGTGTTCTGAAAATTTTATATTGCAAAATTAATTTAGAATTGAGAAATAGAAATGCGGGAAGTTGAGGTCGTTCGTGTCATTTATGTAATATGCAGCATTGATTTTTAGCCCTATGATTAGGTTGGAATATTTTGGCTTATTTATAGCTTGGTAACGGAAGATGTTATGCATAGCGATTTCAAAGGATTTAAGTAATAGAGTTTTCTAATTCTTCGAATACAGTGGTGTGTTTTCCAGAAAATTTAAATTCAGATAACAACTAAAGTGGACGAAAATGGGTAAGAAGACGAAAATTGGAAAGCAGCGTCGAGACAAATATTATCATCTAGCAAAGGAAGCAGGTTTTGTCTAATTCTATCCTTTCCTGTAAGCATTTTAATGGAATTTATGTTCCTAGATTTGTCACAGAATAAATATAATCATAAAGAGAGGTAGTTGTTGGTCCACATGTATGCCATCAGGGTAATCCGCCAGATAACTCAAAAGATGATATGAACAATGAATGATTATGTATAAACGAGAATAAAAGCGAGAAATACGGAGTTTGCATATTTGGATATTTTAGGATATCGATCTCGTGCTGCATTCAAACTGTTGCAACTTAATAAGCGATTTGAATTTTTGCAAAAATCCAGAGCAGTTGTTGATTTATGCGCAGCACCAGGTGGATGGCTTCAGGTGGCCACGCAAAATATGCCCGTCTCATCACTTTGCATAGGTAAAATTTTTATAGAGAAGTAAAGTGTGAAAATATCAGAATTTTCGATATATAATGGGAGGGAATTCAAATTACTTGTTAAGTCTGGTGTTATTGATTTATCATGAAATTAATACAATTCTTTGCATATATATCAGTCATTTTTTAGCCGGATAATCTTTTTCAGGAGTTGATTTGGTGCCTATTAAACCGATCAACAGATGTGTAACTTTACAAGGTGATATAACCGCTGAAAAAACTAGGCAGATGGTGAGGAAGGAACTACGTGGCTGGGAAGTATGTTTTTGTAGTTTGATAAAGAAATTTAAAAATATTGAATGATGCGAAAACAGGTCTCTAACTGTCTCTAACTATTTTATGTTGTAAATTACTGAACGGTTTAATTGTGTGGCAAAGAACTCATCCGCTATTTTCAATGTGTATTCAAAAGATAACGCTAATCACTTTTTTTAATGTCTGAGTTTTTTGAATCAGTTTTCCTGCAAATACCCTAATATTTACATGTTAAATGACTGTTGCTTTGCAGGCTGATTGTGTGTTACACGATGGCGCACCTAACATAGGGCGTAATTGGGTTCAGGATGCATTCCAGCAAAACTGTTTAACACTATCAGCCTTGAAACTTGCAACACAGATATTAGCAAAGAATGGTATTTTTGTAACGAAAGTCTTCCGGTCAAGTGATTACCATCATCTGATATCAGTATTTGAGAAACTTTTCAGACAAGTAAGTTTCAAATATGATGGAGTTTTGAAGTATACTAAACTGTTGTGGACAGTTGGAAATTTTCCTACATATTCATGTCATACAACTAATTTCTTGTAATTACGTGACGCTTATGTAATTCAAATATAGCATGTTATTATTTTGCTGATCGCAGGTGTTCATTATAGGTTCATGTTTGGAAACCAGCAGCATCACGCCTAGAATCTGCAGAGATCTTTGTGGTCTGTGAGAAGTATTTAAAACCGGATAAACTTAGTCCCGACCTCTTAGATCCCAAAAAGGTATTCGCTGAATCGACACAACAGTCAGTTACTTCAAACCCGTAAGTGAAATGTTCCATAAGTTTTCAATAGATTTCGTTTGTAATTGATTCTAATTCTTACGACGATTTAATTCTATCAAATTAAATTCCTTTTTCATGCTTCTGTTTTCAGACAGTTAATGTTGCAATCACGCATAAAGTTGAAGAAAGTACCGGCAGTTGGTTATGAAAATGAATCTATTTCACTCCATAAAATAATAAACGCCACAGATTTTATTCAAAGTAGCGACTATTTAGAATTATTGGCTTCTGCATATAAAGTAAGTCAATTTTCCTAAAGTAATTTATTTGTCTAATCCTTCCCATAAAAGTCTTTTCTTCTTGAATAAACTAAGAGAAATGTTTTTACCACACAGGATTTGTTAGTACAACATTTCTTAGTCCTACAGCGAGATAAAGAAAGTGATCAAATGTGAAATAAATTTGTAAATGTCATATTTTTTAAAGACGTTTACAATTTAATTAGATGATTAATTTTAGTTGTGATTCAAATAATTGATCTGCTTCTAAGACGCGCTTCGATTTTTCTCTTTTGAAGTCCAAATTATCAATTGCAGATTGCTTTGGATGATGAAAGATGGTTGAATAACGAAGAGACAACTGATGAGGTGAAGTGTTGTCTGGAAGATGTTAAGGTATGTGGTCCGAGAGAGTTGCGATTGATACTGAAATGGAGACGTAATATTATCAAAAAAATCAATGAAGAAATGGCACGGGATGAAGCTGATAATCCAACAAAAGATGTAATGGTTGTCAATCCTGAGTGAGTTGAAGCACTACTTTCAACATCAAATATCTTTATCTGCATATGTAAGGATTTGCTGTGATTTCAGGGATGAACGGATGGCAGAAATTGAACAGCAGCTATTGACAGCAAAAGCAGAAGAAAAGGTATTTTCTTTTCTCTGTTGTTGCACTGTTTTTAATACGATATTACTTTTTACTACGACATGGAAAATAATTTTTGCAGGCAGCACTGAAGAAAAGGAAACGAAAATTACTAAAAGATAAAGCTAGTAATGAAAAAAGGAAAAAGCTGAAAATGCTAGTAGAAGGAGACACTTATGAAATACCCGATGAACAAGAGCTATTTTCGTTAAAGAAACTTGCGAGAGCTAAGGGTCAACGGAGTACAGATATTAACAAAATTTCGGGACCAAAAAATAATAGGAGTGAGAGTAACAGTGATAACGACGAAGATTCTAGTAATGACGATGATGATAACGATGATTCTGGGTGCGAAAAAATTTTCCTTTGCATTATAGTTTTCTTTGCTTACTTGGTCCACTTAGAAAATACCAACTTGAAATTCATTTTGTTAACTAAAAGAGCTAGTTTTTAGGATACTTCCTACAGAAAAAACATTCTTATGGTTTTTTGGGCTAGTTGGAAATAGCTTTTTGAAAATTAACAGTGACATTTCGACTTGTTACTTTTGAACAAAAACTCGAATTACGTAAATAAGTGGGTAACATTCTATCTTAATTGGACCAAAAATTGGGGCTAAGTTGGTGCCTTGATGTTAATAAAGATTGTTAAACATAACTGATATTTCAGCATCGATGATGATGTGGAAGAATTTCATCACGAACAGGATCCAAGTATGTCAAAAGCAGAAAAAGCTGAAGCTCAAAAAGCAGAATGGTTTAGCCGGGTTGGCTTTTGTAACTAATGTTCTTGCTTTTTATGCATGACATATATTTCATGTGCTAAAAAAAAAAATATAAAAGCTTTGTACAATTTAAAACAAATGAAACAGAATTTGTTCTCCTAATTTTTGATTTTCCGAATCTTTACCTTATCTCGGAGATTGTAAAATGGTTGTGCATTGACTTTTTGAACTAAATTTTACTCTAGATTTGTATGATAATCATTTGGCTCTAAATAATTATTATGCAATATATTTCAGCATCAGGTTGCTGAACTGATAGATGATGAAGAGGGCACTCTCAGAGCTGTTGAGAATTTCATGAAAAAAATTAGTAATTCACAAGGTTCTTTCAGTTTTTATTATGCAGTTAAAGTTTAATACCTTTCGTCTAATTTGATTTTTTAGTATTTGCTGTGGTGTTTATGTTGCACATTTATATTCAGCTTATAGATAGTGGAAAAGATAATGAAGGAAACGATGACGAGAAATCAAATGCCGGTCCCTTGTCAGGTGAAGGGAATAACGAAGATAGCCAAGAACTCAATAGCGAAGCAGAAATAGGAGCAGGAACAACTTCTGTGTTTATAGATGATGATGAAAGTGACGAGGAATATCATGATGTAGATGAAACTGGTGCCAAAAGTTCCTCATCTGGTATAACGCATACAGGAAAGCCAGGTTTGATGTTTATAAATATCTCATGTAATTTTTGACCAGAATCATAGAACAGTGTGAGCTTTTATATACATATATATATATATATATATATATATATATATATATATATATATATATATATATATATATATATATATATA